TCACGGTGATGATGCGATTTTCTAAATATAGAGCGGTAAACAATAAAGGGCTGCACAGGAATCACAGAGGGCCAGACACACAATATCGCCTGCTGGTTGTTTGCATGGTGTTCAAAATATATGTAATTATTTAATCATCTACATGTTTACATGTAGGCTACTGCGTAAATAATCTATGGTCTGCACCAGATGGAATATTCTAACTAGGTCAGCGCGTTGAATCACAAATGATCTGCTGAGGCGTGGATCCAAGAATTAACAGAAAAACAACATCAAAGTTAATACATTTACATTTAGTACTATAACATGCTATGAATTGATGTCGAAAACTTTTTATGGTTGTCATTCTAAAATTTATTGCCATTTTTCCACAAAAAAAAATACATGTATGGGGATAAGAAGAGACAAGAATATATTTGAAAAACTACGAGCATTGGAAGAAAACTCACAAAGATTATGATCGAGTATTTTCTTGAATGTTTACAGTTTTCTTTTTAATCATATACCCCGGTATAATAAAAGAACTTGCAATCATTTTTCATACAATTTTCAATTGTATTAATAGCAAAAAAGTAATCAAATCACCTTTTCTATTTTATTGAAATGAAGCCAAAATTAAAATATATTCCTAAAACAGTCGTAAATTCAGGGTTGGCAAATTGGGATTTTTTTTCCAGATAATTCGTGAATGCTTGATTTTAGCTGATACCTTTTAAATTTTACTATCGTATTGCGCTAAGTGGAAATTGGTCAGCTGTTATAACTATCTTGAATGTGTTTTTAAATAAATTAACAAATACAAATGCATCTTAAATTCTTTTAGTTATAATAATATTAAGTGATTTAAAAAAAAAATTCTCAGAAAATATGAATTGCTCATTGATTCTATCTGAATAGTACGAAGGTAAGAAATGAATGGCCAATTCATTCTTTCCTTTATGTTTAACGTATTTTAAATTGACATCCAAATTTTCTTTTAAAAATGTAATTATTCCAAAGTTAGATACATGCCTATATGAAGATTATAATCCTTTCACATACTAAAGTATGAGAATACGTTTCAATCAAACGTGTCCCAAAATTAGTAGTTTTAGGATTTTCCATATAAAAGAGTTTTCTAAACACGATTTATATATAGTTCAGTGTGAAATGCTTAAGCATGATTCGTGATATTATTTAGAAAATTTCAGAAAAATATATTTTCTTCAAATCTGAGTCCCAGTCCGGCCCTTTAACCTTTCACTGTTGTAAATGCATGTTCACTGCAAGTCATCTCCCTTATCCATACTTTTTCTTTTAGTATAGTCATGTCTTCTCCAAATAAATGGTTTTTCAGAAAAAATCAAAAACTTTAAACCTTTCCTTCCCATCTACAACATACGATTTTGGAGTTTGAAAGCTACCCCTTTTCCTGTTCAATATCTAATTACCATTCCCCTAAAAATAATAATAATAATATTCTGTCTTTAATAGAAAAATGTTACATTCCACTGTTTATTCTTTGACACAGATGGAGCCAAAGAGATGACATTTAAGGCTTTCTGGAAAGCCAAACTTGTAAGAAAAGATAAGATCATCCTTGGGTATTCGATGATGATAAACTATACGCTATAAAAAAACAAAAATAAAGAATCATCTGACTTCCGCCTTAAACGTCAGAATGAAGTGATTATGAAGAATACGCACAAATCGTCCAAGAATAATGCATGCATATTTACTGAATCGAGAATTTCAGCCAATGTGTATACATGTTTCCCGTGACTTACATTTCGCTACATGTAACTCTAAATAATATTCTTTTAAAATTAGCTGGTTTTTCTCATATACGGAGTAAATAATGTACGAACGATGCATAATTATTACTTTTTACATATTTTGAAATTACAATCCTTCAGATGGAATGTTAAATAGTTCCCTAAGTTAAGGTTTACAACTACATGTTCATGTATTTTGCATGCAACAGATAAAGATTACCCGCTGATAACGGCTGAAATCTTGCCGACTCGGCGGTAAGCAAAAATCAATGATCTGTATACTGTTTGAAATGATATTCTATTAATTTTACTTAATTATTTTTGTACATTATAGATAATAGAATTTTGATAATAAGACGATCGGGTTTTTATTGGGATCGAGGGGGGGGGGGGATGATAATGTAAGGCACAGTAGAATGTGGCTGCAGTAGAAACAGCATTAAGGAAAAATCCTAATAGAATGAGTCAACTTTGAGACACAAGGCTAGTATCACACTATGTTTGAATTCACGTTATAACTATATACAAATTGATGTGATTTTTTTTTTAAATTTAACTTAAGAATAATTATCGTAGCATGATTTTAGTTGTGATTTTATTGACTGCATGGTTCATGTATTTTATGTAAGAAACGATGTATTTCTGAGATCGACCCTCTGTAAATTTGGACTCGATCGCATTGTTGTCTTTTTCCTTTACATGGGGATTATGTAAAATCAAACAAATTGTGTTAATAACTAACTCGCATGCTTTGAGGATAGATGATCAAACATAAAATCAGCATACATGTAAATCTATATATTTGTTAATTGGAAGTTCAGTTGTTCATTTGTCCGTCGGTTCAAAAGACAGAAAAGTATATTTTTTCGGGGGGGGGGGGGGGTTATTCGGTTTTGAAAGGATTAATAATACACTTAACACAATTTTTGGGATTGTAGATTACGATCAACTATGTATGTCATTAATTAAGCATTTTGTTTAACTTAGACACGATGACCACTTTGATTGCTAAGCGATAACAGGTGCCCCTACTAAACAAATGAGAATAAACCATTATGTGACGTCACAATTGAATCGTAAAGAAACTGCGATATCCTCAATGTTAATTTTGAAAACATACCAATTTCAAAATGAAACAACTTTGTTATAAATGAAGATATTTTGATTCCGTTTTCAGTTTTTGTCGTGATTTTACATGGACCACTAAAATACACAAAAATCTCAAATTCGATAAATTTTGCCATAAGGTCGATTTCTATCCGACGAGGCTCATATATAAAACAAGACAAGTTTTCCCTTAAATCGCCTTCAAATTGTTCATATTTTTAACGTAACGTCAAGCAGATTGATACGATTTTGACATGTTATTGTGACGTTGGCAAATAAGATTATACAATTTCGGTTTACTTTTCAACCAATCAAATGACGCATTACAAACAAAATTAAATTATTGAGGATAAAGGATTGTTTTATATTTGTAGGCCTATAGTTTTATCATATGCAATTATATTAATTAACACATTCTCATTGTCAGTTTTACTAATCAATAAATCATCTTGATTCAATTCAATTCTTTATTGAAAACAATATTAGAATTAAGCCCAAATTTCCTCTGCATCACGGTAAACAAGTTTATTAGCAATTTTCTTCAAATAATAAATAATTTAATTTTTAAAATTAATTTTGCGTTATGACATGTCTATTTTGTCACAGGAGGTCGCGTACCTATCAATTTTACCGAAATTTTCAGTAAATTAAAAAAATACGTAATACATATAATGATAACAATAACTATTATTATAGGTATTCGGTATTTATTTGTATTTATTTATTTATTTGAATTTACTGAAAATTTCGGTAAAATTGATAGGTACGCGAACTCCTGTGATTTTGTCCACATTGAACAAATCAGGTATTTTTAAGGGACTGTCTCAAAATACAGGTACAATTACTATAGGGTTATATTCCAGGAAATAGTAAATTTTTCGCACTTTAGAGCAAATTATACAAATACTACAACAGATTTTTTGTTCAAATTATAATATATGATAAGTAATACTCTATTGTACATTATTTGTAAGAAACACAAAATTTCACCATCTTGTTTCCAGAAGGGACATTTCAAATTGCCAAAAAAAATATATATATCGAATTTTTATGGAGTACTACAAAATAAGAGGGATACAAAAAATGATCAAGACATTATCATATATTTAATACTTTTTCTTTTATAACATTTTTATGACCCCTTCTGGAACGGCGTCAATCTACATGTACCTATCAGTTAAAAATCGTTTTAAAAATCAATTATAAATTATAAAATGGTAATTAAATTTTTCAAACATTAATTTCATAATTTTGTTTTTATTCATAAATTTAAAAAATGCTTTAAAACAGTAAACACGCTTCATTTTCCTATGATGCACGAAGTATTTTCATTTTGATATAATTTTATATGGCAATAGAATCCCCAGTAGGCCTCCTTAAGTTGAATATATTTTGGATTATAATATGAACAAACGATATGTGAAGAAGACGACTTAAATGGATTATTGACTGGGTATTCGGGCAACATAAGATTTGTTGGACCTGAATGCGAAAATGTTGGACGAGGCCGCAGACCAAAATAATTATTTTCACCTTCAGGTCCAACAAATCATATGTTGCCCGAATCCAAGGGTATATTTTTTTGTTATATCCTTAATCACTTAACATTTTATCAATACACTCTGTATTATCAATTACTTTATTTGAAAAAAATTAGGCTTAGTCAATAAGAATAAAACAATACCTGAAAAAAAACAAAAATTATTATATCACAAAAATTATTTATCACAAAACATATTCTTCCCGTGTCTCTGTCTTTCAAATACATGTACTAGTAGCAACGGCTCTAAACCTCGGATATTTCCGTGTCGACGATGCTGAACGATTACTTGTGACCCAGTGCCCAGTGACGTTGCGGTCTAAGAATTCTTATGTTGGACTGGTTTAACAGTTTACATATTTTTAAATAAATATTTAAGTCCGTCGGATGGGACGTTAAATGGTGCCCCGTTTCAAGGATTACAACCCCCTTGGCACGTAAAAGATCGTCTCTCTCTGGAGTTCGAAAAAGAGTAGGCTCACTGGGGGCCGCCAGAGAAACCAAAAACTTTCAAAAACCGATTTAAACTAATGGTCCGCCGAAACATGGCTGAAAAATTGCCGACTCGGCGTTAAACAATATTCAATCAATCAATCAATATGTTGGACTGGCAGGCCGGTCAACAGTGAAATTGTTTTATTTGTTAGACTGTTTATTTTATTAGTAATAAATATACAGAAAGATATTTATAAGGGTGTAAATAATATATTTTCAGCCCTCTGCGCAAGTTTGCAAGTTGCAAATTATTTCCTTGGTTACTGCGATTCTGGAGGATACCATGGCTGCATTTTCAGAGGTTTCTCCCAGACAGTTTTCATGATGGCCTCCCGTCTTATGGTGGTGCTAATGTCTGTTGAGCGCTTTATTGCACTGAGATATCCGTTCAAGTACAGTAGTTTGATGTCGAAAGAAAGAGTCATAGGTGCCGTTGTTGGATTAGGAATTTACGCAGTATGTAATATTCCATCTTACTTTCTTTGACCCATCAATTACCTAAGAATATGAAAAATGTTTCCTAATTAGATAGCAGAAATGAGCGCTGACAAATACATCCGTAGTTTGACAATTTACTAAAGAATGTAATGTACTGAAATGAACTAAGATGAATGTTTAGCATTACTTCTGAGTAGACGATACAATTTGCCCGTGGAATCTTTTCTTTTACAGATATTCGTATCATGCTTGCCTATAATGGGAGTTAACAGCTATGGCTATCAATCTTGGTGCGATTTTCACTGGAACGACAGATCGGTTGGGGGAAGATTTTTCGTCCTTTATTTTGTTTTTGAAGGTTGGTGAAACGCATTGATCTCCATTTGTTTGTAATTCTGTTACTTCTACAACTCTAATATTAGCCATTTCTTTATTAAGGTTTTTAAATTGGGTAGATCAGATTCTAAATTGTTCAAACCATGGCTCATTTGGGTACGGTAGGACAGGTGCTGTCATATCTTTTTTTTTATTTGACCTCATATGTTATCCAAATTTGATAGTAATGTTTTAACAATAAATTTAAATGATTTATATCAATTTGTTTTTAATACCGGTATCACGATTTATTCAAAACTTATCCAGATTTTAAAAATGCAAAAGTCGGGTCGCGGAGTAGGTCAAAATTTAGTAAGTATTAAAAAAATACACCAAATAATGTCTGTAGTCATATTCTCTGTAAAATGGAGTAAAAACGAAAAACAACATAGAAATTGAATTAAAGAATTGTTACATCGACTCGGATTCCAAGTTGTGGATTATATTTTGCTTTGTTGAAGGACGTCAACTTGAGGAGATACTCGAGATAGGTAGATCTGTATGAAAATATGAAAACGACAAAAACGATGACAATTTAGAAAGTCATGGAGCAGCAAATAACGATGCAATTTCAGGAATAATACTGTATAAACTCTTAAATTGTTTGAGGAATGAAAACAATATGTCATAAGATTGTTCTGTTATCGAATGGAATGAAACTTTAAATATCAAGAAAACAAATATCTGTACATATTATATTGGGCTTATTTTAAATTTCTAGTGAGTAGTATAACGAATATTGACATCGTCCACGAACTTTTCGAACAACCCTCGTACAGCTGAATGAATATATTTTTTAAAATATACAAATAAATTCTTCTCAAAATCCACTGGACCAGAAAAGCTGAAAACCAGATGTAAGATAATTGACCCCAGAGGTAGAACAGGGCAATTTTGGGACTTAAGAGGACAAAAATTAAAAATAAATAGCGATAATAAATGATAATACAGAAGCATCCTCTTGTAGTGTAGATTTTTTGTTCAAATTAAGGCTCCAGTATATAGTCAGAGGGCGATCCAAAATTTCCATAATAAATGGGAGAAAAACATATTCAGAACAGGCCCATTGAATCAGGTGAGCGCTGTGACCCTTGGGCTTCTTATAAACAACGATTGTGTTATAATAACTGATACGACCACATTCGTACATTCATGCCATTACGGATCAAATGTAAGAATTGTGAAGGGTATACCCCAATCCTGATAATCGTAGGGAAAATTATGGCGTATACCTATCGTATGTACGAGTCGTGATCAGCTTCAACATGAAACAAGGAATAAAAATGTGTTGCTTTTTACAGATACAAGCATACGATCGATTAAAAATACAGATCAAATGAAAGTTCCGTCCGGAGAGAAAAAAGGTGTAACAAAAATGCAAATATCATCAAAGACTTATCCGTTAATTTCCTTCTTGTAATTTAATCAATTGTATATTACTGTTAGTGTCAAATGACTTCAGAATCTGATCCTTCAATTAAAGCGAAAACTTCATATAAGGCTATAAGAAAGAATGCTTTCTACATCCTAAAAAATACGTACTTATTTCAGGACTGAGTTATTAAATGGACTTACATACTAGTATATTGTAATGGTACATGTACATGTTAAACAATATAAACATCAAAGGGCAATGTTCCTCTTGTACATAAAGAATCATCTGAGATAATTCTTTGAAAGGATTAATGAGTCAGATTAACGTAATTTGAAAGGAATATACTTGTATGTTTTTTAAGAATAACAATAACTTTAGGTGCTGGTTAGAGAACTGCTCCAAAATATTTTAAGCAGCTTGCTGGCATATTTTGAGAATATTTATATTGTCGCCGTAAAAACATTTTAAACAAAACAATTCCCAAATATCCGAATTCCTTTCCAATGCAAAAAAGAATTTTGAAAATGTGTACATGTTTGTTTTTTTCTTTGATGAAAGGTGTTGTCATACTTACTATAAAATATTTTCTGTAAAATTGTAGCGTCAAGCAAGAATTTATATATTGGGATATTTTGCAAGGTGATGTTCCACTTTGCTGTGTTTTTCATATTTAAATGTTTCTGCCTTCTGCCTTCTTGAATTATTGTTTTCTAACGTTTTTGTAGGATTTACTTGCATGGCAATCATCGTTTTCTGCAACATCTCCGCCATATATGAGCTTCTCCGCATGAACAAAGTACGACCACTCGACACGGGATCAAAAATAGACAAAGATCAAACAAAATTTATAGTGATGATGGTGGCAATCTCTGTCGTTTACATAGTCTTCTCATCACCCCTTTTAGTGAGTACCAAAAACTGATATTTATGTAACAATTATCATTAAATACATCATAAACTTATAAATACAATCAATTTAAACTTAATTTGGAAGTTATTGTTAATTGATTATATGTTGTTTTACCTTCCATTTTAGAACTTTTCGCTTATGTAGAAACGTCACCATATACCTGTGGAAGACTTATTTAAATGCAGTTTGAAATGAAAAACAAGATGTGTTTGTAAAACACTGATGCCCCCGTATGGCAACATAGCAAAAATTAAAAAAAATTTCTTAATTGCAAATTTAATATATTGGTGCCCAAAGTATGGTATTCTCACTGAAAATACAATTGTGAAATATAAAAGTAGACCAAGGTTGAAGATTTTTCATAAGTATGCAAATCTTCAAGGTCAAGGTAATTGGTATCCAATGAAAAGTCTTACCACAAAGAATAACTATTAGAAATACATGTATGAAGAAAGTCCTAGCCCTAAACGTTCAAAAGTTATGGCCAAGATTAAAAAATTTAAAAGTGGGACAAACTCCAAGGTCAAAGTGTCAAAGTTCTTGATATCAAATGAAAGGTCTTTCCACAAGGATTACATATTTTAAGTTTAAGAGCACTAGCCTTAACCCTTTAAAAGTTATCAAGGTTTGCTTTTTTTAAAGTAGGTCAAATTCAAAGGGTCAAAGTTCTTGGTATCCAATGAAGGGTCTTGTCAAGGGAATTACAAACGTGAAATATGAAAGCACTAGGCCTTAACGTACAAATTTTATGGCCAGGGTTCAAGTTTTTTCATAAGTACGGAAATCTCGAAGGTCCAAACGTCTACCGGTGAGTTTATGGTGTTCAATGAAAGGTCTTTCCCAAAGAATGCATATATAAAGAATAAAAGTCCTGGCATCTACTGTTCAAAAGATATCGTCAAAGTAAAAGTTTGAAATTTTTTTGTAAAAGTGAGTCAAACTCCAGGGTCAAGATCAAGACTGCTGACACAGGGTGTACAGAGTGAAGACAAAAACATTCTCAAAGTAAGAACTGACACATCTTCTGGACATAATTTAGTATAAACTGTGTATGATGTGTACAATGGATCCTACTGAACAGTCAAGGAAGGGGCTACTCACCCCATACAATCCCATGGCTGCAAATTCGGTGATACCCATAGAAAGGTCTTGTCACAAGGAATACACATGTGAAATATGAAATTCATGGTTTTACGAAATCAAAAGTTATGGGCAAGGATAAAGGTTTTTGTGGATAAAGAGACAGAGACAGGCAGACTGACGGTCACGACAAAAAACTACATGTATATACCCCCCAAAACTTCGTTTACAAGGGCTTTAAAAAATCGTTTGGTAGTAATACATGATCACTCGCCTCAGGCAGATATAATACGGACCTTAGCCTCACATACTTTTACTCGGAGAATATTTTACGTTATGATATTGCTAGGAATATTTAATGTAGGTCTTAATTTATAATCTTAGAACAAGTTTAACACCTTCCTTCAATAAACTTTGTCCAAAAAAATGAAGATATGTCAAATAAGTCAAGATAAAATTTACACCATTTTTCGCCTGAAAATCACATATTTTGACCAATATTTCAAAATAAACATGACTGACTCCAACTTTTTCATTATTTTAAAGTACTCGATACTTGTGACTGATCAGCGCTTAAGTTGTAAAAAGCTTGATTTAAGAAAAATATTTATTGCCTATTTAGTTTTTTATTGACCCAAAATTATGTTTTTAGTGCAAAAATGTCACACAATAATTTACGCGCATTACTTTTCAAGATTTGTTCAATGATTCATATTATTCAAACAAGTAGTATTTTACGTAAAATAAAATAATATTTATTGCCATTGTATCATCTGATAAAATATGGTAAAGGTTAAAGTAATTAACCAAAGAGTTAAAATTTAAGTGCAAAAAGGTCAACTTAGTAAGTCAGTAAGATGCACACTGACCCTATTTTCTCGTCGATTTTGAGTCCCACTATGTGAGTACTTATCCAAAATATACTTCTAAAAAAAATCCTTGATTTAACAAATTTCACGAGTGACATATCTTCACAAGAAAACTACCGGGTTACTGCTTGGTTAATAAAAGTTATGTATTGGAAGCAATACCATAAACATAACAATTAATTCTTATGTAAATTAATTTTATTTTTTTTTTCTGTCACAGGTACGTCTTTTCTGTAACCAACTTGAAATCAATCTTTCGAAACAAAAAGACTTTGTTGGAATCCGTCTGAATATTGTCAACAACATGATGAATGCCCACCTGTTTCTTTTCATCCAATTTCTCTTTCATCCGAAGGTACTTGAAAAGTGGAGGAGATGTTTCGGCCGAGGTAGAAATGAGGATCCGAGTTCCACGATTCCAACAACCACCACTTCATAATATAAATTAAAACAAAAGACGATTGTAGCTGTTTTTTTCTTCTTCTTCAAATTTTGACTTCAAAATATGAAGTACCTATAGAACAATTTTGTGGGCATTCTCTATCATATCACTCTCAAGTTTGTTTCTGAATAAAGCTTTGTGAATCCTTTCTTAATCTGCTTCAAATAACTATACTTCCTCCCTTATATACTGGACAAAAAAAGTTAGGGATATTGGGCATTTGGTTTGATAAAGTTTTTGAGAGAAACAATTAGTGAAATACCAAAAAAACATTGATTGAGAAAAACATTTTGTTGCTTGAATCCGGTTCATTGAATGCGTCTTCACAATTTGCACGTGCCCATGAGCCGTACGATAAAAATGAGGTACTCACTGGGTAGTTGTGTAATGCAGACAATCGGTCAGCAGACATCACTACGTTATTGGAAAGGTCATCAGCAACTGAACGCGACTTAATTAGAGGTATGCCACCACAAAGACGTCATTTACAGGCAAATGAGCGCAATCAAGCAATCGGAATGCTTTAAGCTGGACAAACCCAGCGAGATGTTGCTTTCCGGTTTGATGTGTCCCAGAGTGTCATATCTAGACTCTGGACACGATTTCAGGGGACTGGTACAGTCAATGAGAGGCAAGGAGTGGACAACCCCGTGCTTCAACGCAACGCCAAGACGGTACATCGTTACGTTGGCTCGGAGACATCGTCTTCTACCAGCCCCAAGACTGGCTCGTCAGTTCAATGTTGCCACAGGCTTGCACATTACACCCCAGACTTTGAGAAACAGACTTCATGCTACTAACCTCAAGAATTACAGGCCAGTAGTGCGCCCCAGACTTCTTCCACGTCATCGACAAGCGTGCTTGGAATTTGCACGTAAACATGTGAATTGGGAAAGACGAGGGTGGGAGCCGGTACTGTTCACAGATGAGTCCCGATTCTGCCTTGACTTTCACGATGGTCGTAAGCGTGTGTGGAGAGAGGCCAGACAGAGATACAGCCAGGCATTGGTGGCTAACACAATCGGTTTGGGGGTGGCTCTGTGATGATTTGGGGTGGGATCTCTCTCGCGGATCGCACTGACATGATAGGCATCAGGGACGACACTGACTGCTCTCCGATACAGAGATGACATTCTGCACCCTGTCGTCAGGTTGTTTGCAGGAGCAACTGGGCCAAATGTCATTCTGATGGACGATAACGCTCGTCCTCATCGTGCTCATTTGGTTCAGGAGTATCTACAGAGGGAAACTTTTGAGCGTATGGAGTGGCCTGCTGTCTCACCGGACCTGAATCCCATCGAGCATGTGTGGGATCAACTTCAGCATCAACTTTCACAACGTCCAATCCAACCACAGACTTTGGATGACCTTGAAAACGCACTGAGAGAGGAATGGAACAATCTCCCACAACAGAACATTGTGAATCTCATATTGAGTATGCAACATGGATACCAGGCTGTTCTGAGAGCAAATGACGGTCACACAGAGTATTGATGGCATTCTGAATAAATTTTGGACATGTTCTGTAAATTTCAATTTGTTTTTTTCCTGTCAGATTTTTTCACGTCATTCAGTGACAAGTTGTTCTGTGCATATTAACTAAAGTTCATGAAATGAAATCGAGATTTCTGATTAAAATTGAATAAAAATAATGTAAGCGTTTGTTTTTCATAGATTCTGCCAAGTGCGTACAAAGGTTTAATTTTAATTAATGAAATGGTCAATGATCCCTAATTTATTTTGTCCAGTATACTTTTATATATGTATTTGTACCAGACAATAAATTTATTGGGCTGGTCAAGATTTAACAATGAATTGGATCTTACAAGTTAAACCACTCAAATTGACGGATGATTTTTTTGTAAATCCTTTTCTTTATTACATACAAGATTATAAATTAAGCCAGAAACCAGTTCTTAAAAAGATAACCAACGTCGCCTAGGTAAGTGACATTTATGCCACTTTTCTCGAAAATGTTGCGTCCTCTGTTGATCCAGACCACTTGGCGACTATGTTAAGCATAGAGAAATATGCGTCGACAACAGGTTACACATTAAATACTATGGCATTGCTTGTTATTCACGAATTCTTCCTCATTACCTGAAATGCGCAGTGTCCTACCTTGGGACGCGGCGATAGCCCCAAACACTCCTAGGAAGATGGCTTTTGCTTGAAAGTTAATTTTATCCCGGTCTGAGGGTCAGTAGGTAATTTTATGTAACTTCCTACGGCATGCGATTGAGGTAGGTCTCCTCTAGAAAATCTCTGCACAATTTGAAACAATTTATTGTGCAACTCTTATTTTACTTTATGATATAATGTTTTTTTTTCGGGTTTCCTAGAGCAGAACACATCCAAGTAAGCGCACACTTTCTAATGTCACTCAGCAGTTCTTTCCAGCAAATACATCTTCAAAATCCCAATCAATGGATCAACTCTAATAAACAGACTTTAAAACTAAAATTTAGGAAATGACAGTTGCAAGAAACGGTTCGTGAGGAGATGGAAGACAGTACAAAAGGTGGATCAGAAAGTTAAAAATAATTCTTTGTAGGATGCAGTTTATTTATGAAATGGTTATTGGAAAAAAGATTAAAACATCAACAACACCAAGTGCGTCAGAAAATGTGGGTTTTGTGTACAATACATAAAGTGATAATTATCTTGTCAGTTATGATGTTAGTGATGATGATAATGTGCCACTGGCTGTGTTACATTTTTCTTGAGATTAACTTTATTGTGACTTCAATGAATTGGTGGAACATAATGAAAATGTCTGATGATGCATGTAAATTCACTGATTGGGAAAGACTTTTGCTTTTTGCCTCGACTCATATACCTTTCTTTAAAGGTTGCTAAGTAAGCTAATTTGATTTAACACCAACAGAAGTACATATTTACGTTTTTAGATATTTCATTTGTTACTTGATGCCATTATCTGGTCACTTTAAATAAGGTCAAAGAGTTTTCGAGATATCGTGTGGAAACGAAAGCGTAACAAATAGACAGAAAGACGGACAGCTAGACGGACGGACAGACCCATTTAATAGCCCCCACTTTTCAAGCGGGGGACAACTAACTAAGTACATATTTATGATGGGCAAGAGTGCCTCTTCCAAAATTGTCAATTTTATGGCCCCAGGATCAGGGGTTCTAGTGCTAGGGAGGAGCTATATAGATTATATAGTGAAAGTGCATTATTTCTTTGAAAATCTTCTCCCTGCTCCTGGGTAGTAAATAAACTAACTAAATAGTTATGATGAGCAAGAGTGCCTCTTCCAAAATTGTCAATTTTATGACCCAAGGGTCAGAGATTCTGGTGTTAGGGCGGGGCTCTATTGATTATATAGTGAAAATGCATTTATTCTTTGAAAATCTTCTTCTCTGCTTCTGGGTATGAAATAAACTAACTAATCACATAGTCATGATGAGCAGGAGTGCCTCTTCCAAAATTGTGAATTTTATGGCCCTAGGGTCAGGGGTTCTAGTGCTAGGGAGGGGCTATATATATTGTGAAATAGTGAAAATGCTTTATTTCTTTGAAAATCTACTTCTCTGATCCTGGGTATTAAATTAACCAACTAAGTACATAGTTATGATGAGCAAGAGTGCCTCTTCCAAAATTGTGAATTTTATGACCCAAGGGTCAGAGGTTCTAGTGCTAGAGAGGGGCTCTATTGATTATATAGTGAAAATGCATTATTCTTTGAAAATCTTCTTCACTGCTTCTGGGTATGAAATAAACTAACTAAGCACATAGTTATGATGAGCAAGATGGCCTCTTTTAAAATTTTGAATTTTATGGCGCCAGGGTCAGGGGATGGGTGTTAGGACGGGGCTCAATTGATTATATAGTGAAAATATATTAATTCTTGGAAAGTCTTTTCCTTTGCTCTTGGGTTTTATGCCAATGATCCAAATATATATATATTTATGATGAAGAAAGGTGCATCTAGCAAAATGGTTATTTTTTTATGCCCCCCCCCCCTTGGGTCTGGGGGGGGGATGTTACAGTCTGAAAATAAATTAATGCTTTGAAATCCGCTCTTTGGTATTAATCAACCATGAATTTGCAAAATTTTGAAATATGTGTCCCCAAGGACTCAGTGGTTCCTTTGGGTGAGGTGCAAAACTGGTTATAAAGTGGAAGTGCATTTTCTCTTTGTAACTATGATCTACCTCTGGGTATTAAGTAAATGGAGTAAGCAATCTAAGTTGATAGTTATGATAAGCAATGGTGCCTCTTACAAAATTGTGAATTTCATGGCCTCTGGTTTAAAACACGAACCAAATTCAATTGTTTGAAAGTCTGATTCTCAGGTGACCTATTAGGCCCGTGGGTCTCTTGTTTAAAATAAAGCAAAGAAGATCATCGAAACTGTAACTTTTGCGAGTCGGCTGAACTGTCAAGAGAAGGATTGGCAAAATCCATAACGCTCTGAAACCGACTTTTTCACTACATGCAAATTGAAAGCTGCATCATGCTTCAAACACTTCGGAGTTGAAACCCCATATGTTACTTAACCGAAACCCGGGGGCGGGTGGCATATGTGCCCCATTTACACGATGCACATGCCAATATCTCTTGTTCTAACAATTTGTACATGGAGTCTGGATCTTCCAGTTTTCTTCTGTTATTTAATCAAAACATATAGAGATTCAGAATCTAAAATAAATTGAGGTCTAACGATAGAGTTCAGACACAAAATAAAGGAATTATTTATTCAAAACTAAAGTGAAATTTAATACTCTTTCTAAATTGAAAAGAAATAAAGACGATGTTACTTCAATTCTTCTTTGTCAAAAATAACTCTCAATTTGTGTGGGTTTCGACTTGATTTCTTTTCAATTTCAATAAAAGTGATAATTTGAGTTATGTATCTATTTTACTAAATATATTTAATATGAGTAATATGTGTTAACCTGACTTTTAGATTAAAAAAATATACACGGTGTATAGAAAGACAGTAAAAATATGCAAGTAAAGGTAAATATTT